AGATGGAACTAGCTGCTTCTAGGAGTTCAATGGAATTGGGGAGTGGATCGGGTGATCAGAAGGCGACGAAGAAAATGTTCATGGTCATCGGAATTAACACAGCATTCAGTAGTAGGAAGCGGCGGGATTCTGTCAGGGAGACTTGGATGCCTCAAGGTATTAGAATTCTAGTAGAACTCGTTGTCGGGTTGGCTGATGTTACCTCGTCGTATGTTTTTGTTGTCTAATGATTCGAATGTGGTCGCGATTGATTAGGAGAGAAGCTTCTTCAGTTGGAGCGCGAGAAAGGGATTGTTGTACGGTTCATGATTGGACATAGGTCAGTTATTCCCCTCCCTATTGGCATACATGCTTAGCATTATACCATGTGAAATGCTGTGAGTAATGACTAGACATTTTTTTCTAGATGGAATACGAGAGCGGAGTTTTGTGTAACGAGTTCCTTCGTACATGCACGCTCTAATAAAGCTGTGAGTGCCAACATAGTAATTCAGGATTTCTTGAATCCCCATAATCTACATAATTTAACTTGCAAAATTAAGAGTAACATCCTTTGGTCTTCCATAGTGCTTCTTTTGAATTACCTCGACGCAATGTCCTGACCAACGATAAGATTATCTTGTTTTTTCATTTTTGTAATGCTCCGTTGCCTGTTCAATGATGGATGCATATGAGACCTTTACAAACAACTCTCTCGCAAGTTGCAAGTGCCGTGTTCTGCCAACAATTGGCAAAAGCCGTAAATGAAATTTCTTTGATGAGAGACAAGCATAGGTAGTTCTCTTTCTAAAGCTCTCTTTTATTAGACAAATGAACGCATTTTACGAATTTTAAAATGTTTATGCAATGGAAATTCGAAGCTACAGAGTTAAAAAGGGGAAAGGTCTCTGGGGAAGGACCTGTGAGAATAGTCAGTGTTTGTTGTGCATAACTTACTTCTTTCACACCACTATGCACAGGAATGAAAACATCATATACACAAGAATGAAATTGGGAATTTGTTCATCAGCAATTTTAGATATTAAATTAGTAGGTCTTTACTTTTTTACCTTTTGTTTTCACAACCTTGGTTGAAGAAATTCCAGCTAGATTTTGGTGAATTAGAGGGGGGATGCATATGTCAGGCTTGTGGTTTAAGATGGAAAGTATAGGAGAATAGTTTTGAACCTTAAACTGACATATATTTAGTTGCACTTTGTATTCATTTTGGAGTAATTCTGGCATTGCAGAAACTCCGATTACTGGAATTTCCGTTGCTGTGTATCTAAAAGTAGAGTAGCTTATAATCAGCAGTATTTGCAATCCTTAATGCAGTTCCCATTTCGCTGAGCAATGACTTCATTGGATTTCTGAATCTAACTATGACCGCTTTATGAATCCAGTGCGACATCAAATAGCATTTTAGATCGAGCAATTGACTCAGAAGATGCTCAGCACAAAGACTTCCTAAGGCTGGTAAGAAAGCCACAGTTTTGCTGCTGGAAATCTGATAACTTGTTCGTAAATTTGGTCTTCTATAATACGACCTTTCTTCCTTTAGGAACATGTGGAAGGATATCATGAATTATCTGCAAAAACAAAAATCTTCTTTTCCACTGCTGTTGCTATGTGGGATGCTGATTATTATATCAAGGTGGATGATGATGTCCACGTTAATTTGGGTATGAGCTACTCCAGTTAGTTTCATTGCTTATCATTTTTCACTTAACTCCTGTCATTATTGTTCAAACTCTATTTAGCGCGTGCTTACTTCGTAGGTATGCTGGCGACAACACTTGCCCGGCATCGTTCAAAGCCGAGGGTTTATATTGGCTGCATGAAATCTGGACCTGTGCTTTCTCAAAAGTACCTTTTTAGATCTTTTAACTTGAGAAGTATCAGTGTCAAGCCTGCATTTTCTTTCTTATTTACACTTCTCTGTGTTTCATAGGAACGTCAAGTATCATGAACCAGAGTACTGGAAATTTGGAGAGGAAGGTAATAAGTATTTCCGCCATGCAACGGGACAGATCTATGCCATCTCAAAGGATCTGGCTACCTACATCTCAATCAACCAGTAAGGAGTACAATTTAATCTGGGTTTTGACTGATTGCTATTTACACAACATCCTTTTTAATCTTCAGTAGACATCACTTGCTTTCAGACTTTCTAATAGATTTTCACTCTTTTATAACTAAAATGATATTTGACATTTAGTATATTGATGTAATTGTAAAACTCTCTTCGTGCCCAACCTCTTGACTGGGGTGCTGATGGATTTATTAAGAAGTTGTCTATCCATTCCTCTCAACAAATGAGCCTGAATATAAGAAATCATTCTTTTGTAGGACATTATCGGTAAATTTTTTAACTACTATTCAGAAGATTTACGTAATTAGAAAAATTCGGATTATGTGTGCAGAAGGACCGTTCCTTGGCATCATTATTTCATTGAAAATTTATCACTGATCTTGATTGCGAATCAAGTATCTGTATTGACTTTTCCCTTCTGTTTTCATACCAGAATAGAACATTGAATTTGTTCAAAGCTTTAGTCTTGGTGTTGGATTATTATGATTTTATCTAATTACAATCAAGATTAGAGAACTTTGGTCCCTTGAGGTACTGAGTGCATGTGGTGGATTGGGCATTTCAGAAGATTGTGAAATAAGAGTTGGTCTGGATTGTGATTGCAGGCCCATATTGCACAAGTATGCCAATGAAGATGTGTCGCTTGGATCATGGTTTATTGGTCTTGAAGTTGAGCACATTGATGACCGCAACATGTGTTGTGGGACTCCACCAGGTAAATATACGTATCTCACAGAAAGACTTGTAAGATCAGAGAAAGGCACATACTTTCAACCTCTAGATGATAGCATCACTGCTACTGTAATCATGTAACTGAAAGTTTGCAATAGTTTTTAGCCATCTGTTGTATGCAGACCACAAGTCTCAATCTTTGACATGTTTTGAAATTGGAGATGGGAAACATGCCCTGGGGTTTGATGTTGTAATGTAATGCCAAAGTTTTAGGGTTCTCATAATTTCTTCTTTGTTAACATAAAGCTTCTGCTGCATCAGATTGTGAATGGAAGGCACAGGCTGGCAATGTGTGCATTGCTTCATTTGACTGGAGTTGTAGTGGTATTTGCAAGTCAGTGGAGAAGATTAAAGATGTCCACAGAAGGTGCGGCGAAGGGGATGGAGCTGTCTGGGATGCTTTAATTTGATGTAGAGTTGTAGCAGCGGATAGTATGTTGGGTAAAAGAGAAGTGCATAATCATTTAAAACACGGTGCGCACTGAAGTAACGGAGGCACTTTTGCAAGTTAATCGAGCATGCAACTTGCGGAGAAGAGATTTTCTTGCCGGGGTCGCAACATATTTTATGCACATGTGTGGTCCGAAGGAGGCGGTTGCAGCTGTGTTATCGAGCTGGAAAATGTCGTCGCAGTGCTTGTTTGCTGCATGTTCGTGGGCTAGGAAGATTGATCCCACTTAGATTTTGGGGTGATATATGGTTACTTTTACGTGAAATTATTTGTTTATTTTTCCCACTTTAGTGAAGTGTAACTTAGGCTTTTAGGATATTACACGCCTGGGTCCCATGTTTTTGACCCCCTGGCAGAATTTCGGGAACTGATTTTGTTTTTGTTCAAAAGGAAGTCAAGTGAATTGCTTTGCATCATTGTGTCGGTTTTTTCTTCTTACAGCTGAAATGGAAATGTCAAGATTTTCCTTGCATTTTTTCCTGGGTGGACTATGTTTGCGTGCGCTCGAAGTTGGTCAAGATTGTGAAATTCCCAGTATTCCAGCTGAAGTGAGCTACCAAACGTGATGGGAACACTTCACTAGCAACAGATGAGGGCCAAAAAGCATCTTCAACAAATGAAATGTATACGGAGTCTCTAAGTGAAGGACCCTGCTTGTTAAGACGTCACCTTCCCCAAAGCCGGCACCGGCGGGGCAGAATGTTCTTCTCTGTATAAAACATAGAAAGGAATAAGAAAGAATTTTAATATTAAAACAAGCCAAACAGAAAGTCTTTAATTGAGTCAAATCAATCACTGTTCATGATTTCCGTCGGATTGGGTCTCTGATTAGTCGGACTACATCGAATACTGGACTAATGTCGCGAAGAAAATATCGGATTTTGTCTCGATATGATTGTACCGATTAAGAGTTGTAGAATTTACTTGCATAATTCACATAAATTATAAAAGATCGAAAATGAAATTGTTCCAATCTTTAAATATCTGATTTTGCCCCGATTCTAACTTTGCTTTGTTGGGGAGGGGGAAAGGGATGGGAACGGAAGGAAAGGAAAGAAAGTAGAGATAATTGATTTCAGGTAGATTGCTTCCTAGTTTGTGGAATCGGCTCACTTAGTTATAGAATTGGATCGGACTGATTAGTCCGATTCTCGGGTGAGTCTAAAAATTGGTGGTAATTTTTTTTTCCTATTCCCTAAACTCTTATTTTTTAGTATTTTGGATCATTTATCCGTAAAAATATCGATAGAAAGACGCTAAAGGTGTAATAAAATATGATCAAGTATCATTGACTTATTAATAAAAAAAAATATCGGTTCGATCCGGCGGTTCGATCCACACCTGGAACCAGGAGCCGGATCGACAATCATCGATTCCAAATTTTAAAAATCCAAGAAGTGGATCGATTCTTGAGGGAACCGCCCAATTCCGGCCGGTCCGGTCCGATTCCAATGCTTGCCCCTGCAAGGGAGGCGTGAGCGTGAAATAAATTATAATATATTTTGCGAGAAGGAGAGAAAGGAAAGTTTATGCAATTCGAAATATTTCTCTTGCTTTTCTTTCCTCTGAGGTCTTCCAAGGGAAGCATCTGAATAAAAGACATATTTTTCAAACGTAAAAATTACTCCACAAATTGTTGAAAAAACAAAAGAAAAGAAGAAAAAACTAAAATCGGTCTCCCCTCCCTGTCGCTGTTTCTGTCGTCCCCCATTATAACTTATCAGACGCTCCAAAAACATAAACCAAAAAAAGGAAATAAAAAAAAAGAGAGGAAAAACTATTTCAGTTCAGCCGCAGTCCTGCACGGCACACAACCACCACCGCCACCTTCCCCAAGCTTCTTCTGCATCTCCGTCCCCCACTCTCTCTCCTTCGATGGAAGCCGACGAGTGCAGCGGCCGTCTCGCGGCGCGTTAGATAGACAGCGGAGAAGAGAAGCGATCGCGGAGAGGCGAAAAAAGTCAAGCGGAGCTCGCGTCGCTTTGGGGGTTCGGTCGCCGGCAATGGAGAACGCCGACGTCGTCCTGGGGCTGCACGATTTCCTGGAGCGCATGCGCCAGCCCTCCGCTTCCGACATCGTCAAGTCCATCAAGAGGTGCGCTTGATTTCATGGCGTCCGTTTCCGATTCGCTTAGCTTTCCGCCGTCTCCCTCGATGCCGGGGGGGGATTCCGTCAGCTGCTGCTTCCGGGGCGTTGATCCCGAGGGCCGGAGTCAACGGCGAGAAGGGGGGGGCTCTCTCTTGTTGTCGGCTGCTCTCGCTTGGTTTTTAGCACTATTCCGTGCTTCTGGAGACGAGTTCTAGTTTGAATTGGAAGCCAAAGCCGAAGTTAACCACGTGATGATTAGTCTACTAAAGGGGCCTCGATGTTGAAAGCGGAAAGTTGCGAATAAATTTTTTTATTTTTTTTGATAAGGATCGGATTCGTAGCAAGAAAACTGGAATTGCGGAAGCAATTGAACCTTTTTGCGCGTTCTGATACATGAGGTGGATTGACTCTGAAAATTTGTTGTTAAAAACTGCTGATGCTGGAGCATGATCAGGATTTTGCTCGATCAAAGTCCACTCTTCAAGTCAGGCACAATGAAGGATTATGTAGTTTTTTGATTTTGAAGCTTTCCCCTTTTCTAGTCGCGAAAATAGAAGACCTTTAGATCATATGCGGATAACCTTATTTTCCGTACTTCTTTTTGACATTAATATGTGAAGGTTCTTGACCTGTGAGCTAAGTGCATTCCTTTTTGCAGTTTCATTGTCTCGTTTATAAACAATGCTCCGGATCCGGAAAGGGATAGTGCCATTGTACAAGAATTTCTCAAGAATATGGAAGGAGTCTTCAGGAATCATCCATTGTGGGCGGGTTGCTCAGAGGAGGAACTGGAGAGTGCTGGTGAAGTGAGTCACTATCACAACAATTTTTCCCCAGAAGATTGCTTTTTGACTTTGTTTCCTGTATACTTATTTTACATGAAGGCATGTATACATGAGATCATTAAAGTTGCCTCCAGACAAAGCACTCCACTTTGCCGTCGTTAATGGTATTCTAAATTCTCTCAATTAGACATGTTCCAAATCTCAACTAGCCGATGAAAAAAAAAAAATCTCAACTAGCTTCCTAGGACCATGTCTTTAAGGTGGAAAGGGAAGGCAGTTCTGGGCTGGGCAAATTGGCATTAGAGTATCAACGCAAATTCTAATTTGTAGGGGACAAAGGCTGACTTCGCCATTAATGACGACAAATAAAGATATACCTGAAAAGTGGCTTCTTGCTCCGCCACCCAAATTCTTATTGTGCTACAAGCGAAGGGAAAGAGCCCCAAAGGGGAAATGGGATAAAGCATGTGTCGATAGTGGTTGCAGTTCAGCAGGATTGATAGGTTGATATCTGGAGAACGGTAACTGATACTGTGAACATACATTTGCAGCTGGTATGATAAAATCCCATGGTTTGATAGAAAGGACCCACGTAAGTGATTTATATGGCGTGGACATGATTCTTTGATGAGATAAGTAGAGTCTGTGAAGTTTCTGATGCTTCTAGAAATGAGAGAAGTATAATAGGCAAATAGAAGCACTGTCCATATTTGTGGAATTTCGCAACATTCTTCCTCCACTTCTTTTTTTCCCTTGGACTTTTAGAAGATTTCAACACTATTTGCTGAATTAGCTGGGAGCTTACCCTCATAAAAATGGTGAACTTCTCTCGAACAGCCTGTTGCTTTGGGTGGATGGGAATGTATTGTCCTTAGAATGGAGTAGATTTTCTATACTTGGAATTAAATAAACTGGTTATGTTGATTTTACTCTCTTTTTCCCTTTTTTATCTCGGCAGTAAATATATGCAGCTTAAGGTTCAAGCCATTTGCAGCGAGGCTTGGAAGTGGTCGAAATAATATTACTGCTTGGAACTTTAATCTAGTGGTTCATGCTGAGAATTCTCCATCATGATATTCTAGTTCATTATTCTATAGGCAGTCGATGAATTTTGACTGGTTTCATCCTGTTTCTCTGGCTTGTTTCTATACAGGGATTGGAGAAGTATGTAATGACAAAATTGTATTCCCGTGTGTTTGCGTCACATCCAGATGATGTTAAACTTGATGATGACCTTTCTGAGAAGATGGCCCTGGTGCAACAGTTCATTCGGCCAGAAAATCTGGACATCACGCCGACCTTTCAGAATGAAACGTCATGGCTGGTGGGTGTCTACATGCACTTTCTTAAACAGTTTCGTTTAAGGGAATTCTGGATTATTTCCTTAAGTTAGACTTTAGACAGTCAACTCTTTGGACCTCATTGACAATTATGCCAATAAATAGATGAACTGGCTACTCCTACTTTGGTACTGAAAATGCATTTCTTTAGATCTTGTTTTGAATGGGTTAGCTGCTGATATTATCTTCTAAAGATCTTTTAGTCTGACTAATCTTCTACTTTGGTATTGACAGCTTGCTCAGAAAGAACTACAAAAGATCAACATGTGCAAGGCACCAAGAGACAAGCTAGTGTGCATCCTCAATTGTTGCAAAGTTATTAATAACTTGTTGATTAATGCTTCCATTGCTTCCAATGAGAATCCACCAGGGGCTGATGAGTTTCTCCCTGTTCTAATTTTTGTTACCATTAAGGTACGTGTTCTCGCTATTTGAGATACCTGTCCTGTTCTTTATGACTCATGATATATTGAATGCTTATCCAAATTCTGTCATTGTATCCAAATTCTTTTATCTAAATTCATTGGCAGATTTATTGGTAAATATCAAAATTCTGAATAATATACATGATGTCAGATTTGAAGTTTGTGGTAACTTTTCTGGTTTGCAACACTGATGCCTTGTTCACTACTTTTAGCATTGTGTATCGTAATACTCAGACAACAATCTATACCATTGTTTTGTAATAATCTACTCCACAGTCTAGATAGTGAAAGGAGAAGTGTTGGCTTTGATCGTCATTCTAGAGTCCTTCACATACTGTGGTTTGCTGGTCATTGGTAAACATTTCTGCTGATGAAATGCCAGAGCTTTGGATGCAAGACTGACAGGCAATGTTGGTTAGTTTCTTCAATCTTCTGAATGAAGAGAATCTTAATTACAATGATGGTGTGGAACTCTTTCTTTGGATGTTTATAGGTAAGTTGGGAAGGGGATCTTGGGTCTTGGTAAGGCTGGACCACCATAAGCCCACAGTCCTCTGCCTCATTGAGGCGTTTAGATGGATAATATGGATAACCTTCAGCCTATGGAGGAGCGAAACTTGATGTTTCCGAATGTTAAGATAAATTACCGTCATGTCTCTGACTTTGGCCCAAACTAATGGACACCGTATTTTAGTGGACATTTCACTCCCCGCGAGTCATTGTCAAGGCATCAGATGCTGAGGCAGCCTGAAGTATTAGCTTTTCAACCCAGTGGCTCAGACTGATGAAGTAGACATATTTCATCTCGGCTTTGCTGATATGTATTCCTATGTGGCAAATTAGGTGGGCAACTGGAAATTATGATAGCCACTTCATCAGTCTCAGCTGGCTCACGCTAAAGAAAGTGCATTTATATATTAAAAAGAACATTTTACTAGGCTCAAAATGAGGATAGCAATGTTGTATTGATTTGGGAATATTAGGAGTAATCTTGCAATTTAAGCGAAATTGAGGGGGGGCAGTACTGTAGTTTAGATACCGTCTGGTGCATATCTAACCTGCAAGTAGTTCTACATATTTCGTTAATGAGACATTTATTATTCGAACAATCATGTTTTTTTTTATGTGGAATAATCACATATGTTGACACTATTACTTTGTCTTTGAACATGTTCCATAGAAGTTCGTTGGCCAGCCATTTTGAGGATTTCTATCTGTTGTTTATAAAAATGCTGGTGTTTTTACATAATTGGTGATAGTCCAAATTCTTTTCTGATTTTCCCAAAAGGAAAAATTGATCTTCCAATGTATATATGGGGCACAGACCCCAGGTTTTGAATGAAGCCTAGAGACGATGGAAATTTTGGAAAGATTAAGTAGTTTCATGGCTTCAAATTTTATTCTAATTTTTTTGGGGATACGAGTATTTTGGGATGCTGCTTTATCTGCTTATTGCTGAAATTATTCTCATGTATAATCTGCCCTTGTATACATCCCATGCAGGCAAGCCCCCCGCAACTGCACTCAAATTTGTTGTATATACAAAGATACAGACGACAATCTCGATTAGTTGCTGAAGCAGCTTATTTTTTTACAAACATGCTCTCCGCAGAGTCCTTCATCTCAAACATTGATGCAAAAGCACTTTCAATGGACGAAACTGAGTTCTTGAGCAACATGGAATCTGCTCGAGCTCTTTTATCTGGGCTTTCTATTGATGCCGATGGTCTCTCTAATAGAACTGATAGCGCTGGTGATTATGCGCCAAGAGCAGAACAGATGGCAACGAGAAATCAAGGTTCTTACAGAATTCCTGCAACACCACCCAAAACATCTGAAACGAAACTGAAGACAAAGTCAGTACCATATACAAGTAATCAGGCATCGATGGAAAAAATTCCATCCCTCTCGGATTTGGAGAATAAGGGGGCAGCTATACTGTTGAAGGAGGATCAGGTGAGTAAAACCTTTCAGGAGTTCCCATACTTATTTGCCCAGGCTGGTGATTTGACAGTAAATGATGTTGAAGACCTGCTAAGTAATTACAAGAGGATAGTTTTCAAGTACATTTGCCTTTCCAAAGGGATGAGTGTTTCCAACCCACAAATTCCTTTCAAATTACAAACCGGAGGCCCAAACCAAACGGAAACAGCGAAGAAATCTCATGATATACACTCTGAGCCACAAGAAGATACAGATAGGACAGATGATAGAGTTTCCTTCCTCGAAGAGGAGAGTCTTGTTTCAAAGTCGCCGCCAAATGAGCCATTGGAGCCACAAGGCAACCCTGTTAGCGAGACATCCCAATGATAGGTCAAGTCTTCTTTTTTTTTTTTGGTCCATTTCATATGTTTCTTAGGTAGAGAACACTGCCCTACGGAGGTCATATATTTGGGACAATGGACAAGATGTTAGGTTAATTCCTGTCCTCTGGTAGAATTTAGCAGTCGATCAGTCCTGTTTAAGGGAATGAGGAATGATCTAAAGAGCATCTACATCACTCCCTCGTCGTCAAATTTAGCTCACGTCTTCCTTTACCACTTGCAAAAAAATTTTCAGCAGGTTACAGTGATGGATAGGTGATAGTTCAATGTGCATTTTGATTCGTGTGATAGATGTGGATATTCCGCTCTTGATCAGAGTTTCAAGATCAATGTTTGCTTCAATGTTCCGCACCTGTGATTCTTTGTTCTTGAATTGTGCCTTGTATTGACCACGTAAGGATTTTAGTAAATTCTGGCCTGCATAGTCATAAAAAGATTTTTGGTATGATCCGTGATAAGAATGGATACAAATTTTATATTTCATGTGTTGAGGGAATGTAGAGGTAAGAATGAATCTCTCGGTAAATTCTGGTCATTCAGGTTATTACTGCAGGAAGTTATAAGCCAGAGATCCCGAAGGAAGATATTTGAAGGGAATTCATGTTTCTCAATCCTCTTTTCAGAATAGGGCAATATGTTTTCGAGGATTCTGATACAAAGTGCGATCATTTGTCGGTTGAAGGCTAGTAAGCTAACTTGTGAAGAAATAAATTACTCACATTTTAGTGTGGTTTCACAGAAAATCAAGGAATTGCACACTGAAAAATGCCGGTTCATGGATTTGCTTCATCAGTATCACGCGAAGTCGTGAAGTTGCATCAAATTTGGCACCTCACATTGCATTTTGCATGCTGTCTTTATTCTTAAGCAGGGCTTCTGCATTCTGAAACAAGCCAGATGATCATGTAGTTTTGCAGATGAGACTGACACGTCACCAGTTTCTGTGCATTTTTTAGTACTTTTTCTGTTGTAAGACTATCTTGACACTATCAAACCCTGGCAACCACTAAGCTCAACTCTCTTTCACCAATCTTTTTATTGATTTCTTTTCTTTTTCGCCAAAGAACCTACCTCCACCACTTAATGCCTTAACTTTCCGTTTGAACTTAAAACTGCATTTCCTTTTTAAATAATTCCGTACTTTTTTTACTAGACCTAAGAGAAACCAGACAGCATGATGGCCGTAGGATCAACAGTCTCGTCATCGCCGACGGTCGTGATCGACGTGCTTTTGATGGCGAACCACGTCCAGGAAAATAATGTCACGCGGACCTACATATTTCCGCGAAAAGACATTCGCATTGCTCGAAATAACGGAAGTTGACTAATAATTCCCATCAAGAGGAACGTGCAAAAGGCCTCCCCAACAGACAAACACATGAGGACCTTAGGTACTCATCTTTCTCTCTTTCGAAGAAACTTCCCCTTTACACTTTGAAAAAAAGGCGAAGCTCGACTGGAGATGACACCCATTACCCTTGTCCTTATCCCCTCGTTGTTATGCGGTCGCCCAATGTATTCTCTCGCGCAGCTAGCTTGCATTTTCTTATTTCTCAAATTCCTTGAACCACGTAGTGCTTATACAGGTGACATCACCTAAGAACTGGGGATCAAGATTCGAGTTATTCTGTGTGTTGGGACAGCCTGCAGTGCACCCCAAAAGTGGTACTATTTTTAAAAGGGGGAGTGTCCTCTTGGGGGGTGATTTTCTGGATCTGGGGGGATGTGGCCCTTCTTAATTTGACTTGTCATTGCCCTTGCATAACCGGGCATACCAACTGGCAGGTAAAAACCCTATTTCTTGTGCTTTGTATCAGCAGTGGATGTGAGAGAGAGAGGGAGAGAGAGATGGGTCTAGGGTTTCCTCTGTTTCTTTATTATTTGGGAACTTTAATGATTTAGAAAGAAGGGGGTGTTGCAAGCCACAGACAAGCATGTCATGCTGTGCCAAGACAATCTCTGGCCGTGGCAATGGGAGGCCACCTTCTCCTATGCATCAACTTCGACATAGCAGTACCCCCCCCCCCCCCCCTTTCTTTAAGGTTAACCTTAAGCCAAAAGAAACAGCAAAAAGAGACACTTGGATGGGTAAGAGATCAATGGTGACTTCCACAACCTGCGATTTTTCAATTATAAAACGACAACTGTGTCTTCCACGTATAATTGCTTAATCGTGAAGCATGTGTGGCAATGCACAAAACCATGGCATCTTCTGATGATTCCGACATTGACGGTGTCACTCTTAACTTCACTCCTTGCTTTCTTTATGTGAATGGATACTTTCTTGACTTCTTGTTTACTCAGAACAAGAAGAACACAGATTATTATTTTCGCGAATTTGTGACGAGACCATCTCGATTTGAATGTAATTATTCTCTAGGACTAATTTGTCGTAGGTAAATCCGTTTGGAAGATAAACAAAATTGTTTTCCGAGGTCTCACGTTGATTAATCATTCACGAATCACAAGTAAAGATTTCGTGCCTAAAAAATATGGTCGTCTAAACGATTAATCTCCACAATTAGTATGCATTTATGAAGATATCGAGTTAAAGATTTGAATACCTTATGCGCTATCCAATAAGTATAAAAGAAAAAAAATATCAACCCAGTTATTAAGAGGAATTCTCCAGGGCTATAACGCTTAATAATAGAAGTACTTTTTTTTTTTCATCTAATTTTGGGTATGCAACTTTTTTTTTGGTGAGTGATGGCGAAAGGGAGATTACCAAATCCACCTTTCACGTGCCACCCACGTGCAGACACACGCTACGTGTCGGCCGATATCAGCAAAGATATGTACTTCTCCGTTGCCCCGGACAAGATGTTATCCGCACGTGACCTGCATGTGCTTGGTCGGTACCTAATGGACCAAAGGAGATCGATTGGTCTTCACCCACTCCTCTCATTTTGACTGATATGTTTAATCACATCCTTTGAGCTTGATGAGATTGGATTAGTCATAATCAAGTAAAATTAGTAAAGGGGGAACCAACCCTTATCGAGTCTAAATTGTTGTCGGCGATCTTAATCATGCAATCGGCCCGGCTGTAACTATAGCTTTTTGGCTAAAAATAATGAGGGAAAATTCGGAAAAGAATAGGATGGGGAATTTCGATCGAGTGAATCCTGGCTATAGCCCGAAGAAATTTACATTTTGAAGATTCTTCAATTTGAAGTACCATAATACTCGAAATAATGGAACCTATGCTGATGATGATTTGAGGGTAATGACTGTCTGTGTTCAGAATAGTAGGGATTAAAAGCAAGCAACTTAGCACTTTGGAACTGATATATGGTCATATTCTACAATTCATCTACTTTATATTTATCACATTTGCTATTGGTCCAAGCTTAAACAGTCAAGACTATTCAATTACCAGAAAAGGGTACTGTTCCTGCAACATTAGCTCGGGAATTGTCATGTGGGTTGTTGGTTAAAGTTCATTATCTTATTTTATTCTAGCTTGAAATCCATAAACCACAAAAAAATTAAAAAAAAATTAATAAAAAGAGCAGTCGCTCTTGCATTTCAAGCCTCCCAATGTTTTTATCACTAGGAAGATATAACTAAAACCATAAAGCATTATTTCCCCATATTGGTTTGGAATTTAGGTCCCGAGCAAGTCCTCAAAAAGCCCTATCTCAGTTTTCGTCAGAATTTCGAGATCATCGAGATGTAAAACTCAGAGAGGATATTTCCTCCATCTAGGGAAGATAAAGATACAGAGAGGAATTTGAGGGTGCGAGGCATCGGGCAGTGACACATTAGTATAGAGAACGCTTTTCCTCACATTAGTTTTGGAATTTGGATGATCTCTAACTTACGTGGATGGATAAAGTTTTAATTAGTGTGGTGGAAAATAGAGGCATGACTAGCTAGTTTGATTCTAACTTCTTTCTTCAAACCATTTTGTCAAAACGATAAAAATCATAAACGGGATCAGGAGAAAGAACATGATTGCTATAAGTGATTCCAAAAGAGCATTCTAAAACCTTACGCGGGTGTTGGTCATCATCGTAGGTCATCCCTCACCATTGACTCTTAACTTCAACATTAACGGCTAACCGATAAGAGAAGGGTCTTACCAAACCCCAATTTTGGTCAAACACCCAACCTATTGTTGACCTTCAAGCTTCCGCAAAACTCTCTTCTTTAGGACGCCGCCCGTTACCTAAACGATACCGAACCATCGAAACCTTATGCACGCTTTCAAACGATCCAATTTCAATGCCTCCGAGGTTTTAATCAACTCTGCGACCGCGATCTACATCCGAATTCAATAATCGTGATCCAAGATAACCATCGGATGGCCAATGGGGTCACCGCTTATGTCCATACGGATATACTTTTCGCCCCGGTTAAAAGTTCATCCAATCAGTCTCGAACATCGTCAAGAGAAGAAGCACAAATTCCTGTTCGTTTCCCCCCCTCTTTTTTTTTTTCACCAATCGATCTCGTAGTGATCATAGTCACATTCTACATCAGTCGATGCCGACACCAATAATTTTCAAACGCCTATGAGCTCAAAGACTTTCGCCCCCTAGACAAAAAGGCCACCCTCTGCACATCTAATGCCTAGTTGGTATCCAACATCGAAGGGGAAGGAGTTGTCAATTTCCAGTACTTTTGGCTTGACTTTCGTTTTTTTGGAGGGTTTCGATTGTGATTGGGAAATCGAAAACGGCACGTAGGTTTTTCTTGTACGCCGGAGCCCCACCTCGAATGTATATGTTCTCGCAATTATCAATCGGCTTAGATTACTAGCCTTAGTTAGGACTTAGGATGACGGGTTTATATGAATGTAAATCTTATTTTGCCCAGCAAAAAATTGAAAGAAAAAAGGGTTCGTAGGGCAATCAAAATTATTTTTTTTGGGGGGGTCGAATACGGCAATCAAATTGAGTGCAAGAAAAGTCCATCGATGTTGAGACAAAAAAAGGAAGAAACAAAAAAAACAAAGGAAAACGCCGGCAAGGACGCATTAGGGCATGGGACTGGGGTGGCCTTCAGCCCCCAAGGGTCAAATTTTTTTTCTAAATATAATACATGAAATTCTAACTTCGGTTTAAAATTTTTCTGCATTTTTAAACTAAAATAAAAAAAAATGTAAATATGGTTCGCGTGAGCACCAACCGTGCAATGTCGAACGGCCGGTGTTCACGATAGTACATTTTCGGCCAAAATTATCCAGAAAGACTACATTGACAAATCGTCAAAAGGTTTGAGACTAAATTTAGCCAAATTGAAAAGTTTACGACCAAATCAGCATATGCACATTAAGTTCATGATTCTTTTTCGGTAATTTTTCCAATCCTACAAAAATCGGATGGACCCTCGGATTCAAATCCTTGTTATAACAACGCGTATCGCATGGACAATCGCTCTAGGGTTTCTGTACAAGGATCCTAAACGCGGCGTTCATCCATCGACGAGGGACTCGGGGAAATTTTTTTGAAATTCGACCCCTTTTGAGACGAGCCATTACTTTACTTTAAATGATACAAAAAAGGCGAGTCTCAGGGATTAGATTAAGAAATGTGGACCAACCTGGGAGAGAAAACAGAAAGGAGCGTCAACCTCAAAAACCACCATGATTAAACAATGGAGTGGCGTGTGAACGAGGCGTGAATGCATTTGGATGGAGTTCCCCCCTCAACTCCAAGCAACATGCAGTGTTTTTGGACCAATCCCTCTTTCTTTTATTCCTTTCCTTATAATTACTGTCCACACTTGGCTTTTTTGCTCCTTCTACGCGTGCGACAAAGCTTCAAAAGACTCACAACTTTAGCAGCAATCTTGGCTTCAGTTTCACTTCGAGCCCAGGTAAAAAAAAAATAGAATTGTTAAAGACGTACAGAAACTGATGCATGAAACTGGTTTTACGAATTAAACTTTTTTAATCCCTCTGCCTCGCTGTACATGAAGATATAAGCGAGCGTCGGGCTCATTTGTCGAGCCATATTGAACGAGTTTTGGAAATGAGAAATCGCGGAAAGGAAAAAAGTTTTCGCATATTTCGATATCTAGTAACGTATTTCAAGTGCTGTGACGCGCCCGATGGATTAAGCGTTAAATATGAAAAAATTTCTTTGCAAGTGTCGGAAGACATTATCTGTAATTAGAAGAAAACCCACGTTAAAGAGATGTAGATTTGAAAAAAATGGACGGACAACAGAGGTTTTAAAATAAATATTTGACCAATTATTGTTAAAATACACGGTGTAGCTGTATATAAAGGACCAAGTCCGTCAAAGACCTGGTTCTGCACTCGCAGGAAGAAGAATTCTCTTCCCCTCCATTTTTGACACCCTCAAAACTCAAACACTCTCCTTCTCCTCCTCTTAAACACTCCCCAACTATCACACATAACTCTCTCTCTCTCTCTCTCTCTCTCTCTCTCTCTCAAACTGTCAAGAAGAGAGATCAAAGAGAATAGAATCAAGATGGGCAATGCTTATAGAGATCACCACCATCATCTCCACCATAGAAACAGCCTCCAACACAAGGGCTCATTCTTGCCCATGTTGTGCTCGAGGCCGTCCATTAAAGATGTGAAGCTCCTCAAGTGGAATGACGACAGATCCGCCTCTTTCTCCGACGACCCGATGTCGCCAAAGGTCGGCTGCATGGGCCAAGTCAAGCGGACCAACCGGGTTGTCGGCTTCCCGACGCCCAACAAGCTCATCGCCATCACCGCAAAAGCCAATGTCAATAGCAGTCTCAATAAGTACACCAAGCTGAAGAGGCTTTTCTCTAGCAAAAGCCTCCTCGCATCCGCCACCACCTCCTCTGCCGCCACCCCAGCCTCGGCAACCGCCGCAGGCAGCTGCAGGGGTAGGAGGCAAAAGGAGAGCAATGGGTGTGCAGGAGCCAAGAAGAAATGTGAAAAGACTGAGAATTCCATCAGTTCATCAGTTAGTATTTTGGACATGGATCCCCCATTGCCAGTGATCAAGAAAGTGAGCAAACCGGCCACAGAAGGAGGCAGCGGAGACAGCGGAGGCGACGGCAGCCTGTGGAAGAGGAGGCTAGGTGGGGTTGCTTTGAAGAGCCTGGAGCTTCAACAGATTCACCATCGAAGACATCATATGCAGCCGGTCACTGTTTGATAGGAGGTTGAAAATTATAATTCATAGGAAGAGAGAGAGAGAGAGAGAGAGAGAGAGAGAGAGAGAGAGAGAGAGAGAGGGAGGGAGGGATCCCTGAGAAGTGTAAATGGTTGGTGTCCAGTATGTTCTGCTTGTTTCATTAAATGCGTATTGAATTGATTTGTCACTAGTATACACTGAATATATGAAATTTTGATCATAGATCTTGAACATACCATGGAACTATATTTCTTTTTCTGGGCGCAACCAGAAAGCAACTAGGAAAATCATGTGTCTGGTATATGCTTATTCTAATTTGGCAGAAGCACATGAGTGGGGTAATGCTTAATAACAAGGTAGGCAAGGGGGAGGAGAAGATCATCAGTTTGTCTATCGATGAGGGGTAAATGGTTTTTGTCCCCAAAATGGACACGATGTTTCGGAAGTAACTGGAACCCACAAATATGAAGCTTGATACTCTATATCGATTCGCTCGGCTAATTATTTATATGGATGGAGGATGAACAGCACAAAGCCACCAAATTCCAACACAAACTTGCCAAGTGAAAGGAACGAAAGACGGAAAACCTCATAACCATAGAAATGTTGTGGACATTTGAAAATTTGCTATATGAACGATCGAACCCATTTCTCAATTCAATAGAAGCTTAAAGAGTTGAATAGGGTCTCAAAAAATGAGAGATATTTAAAAAGCGAGTTTTGATTACGCTTATTTGTAGTCCTAAATGGAATGAAACAATGTAAGGATTCATAAGTAAATATAACATGTATTTTGATACGCTCAAATGATCCCTTCTCATAATGAGAATGTATATTACCCTATTCCTGGCCTGTCCGGAACATTTGAGAATGCTTACGGTCCAATTTGGTGAGAAGAGAGAAGTCACTCAATTAACCCCATTGTCTTGATTGATGGCCAATTATGAACCCTACTTTCTTTTTTTTGGTCGGAAAAACTCTACTTGAGCGCCTCAGAGTTCGCTTCGCATGACAAAAAGGTGCAACGCTCAATCAAAACAATCGTTCACTTGTCGACCAAATTGTTTGGTCTGGCTGAATAAAAGCTTACTGCTTGAACAGAAAAACTCGTTCCGTTACCAATGTTAGTGACTCACGGATCTTTCAGCCAACAAGAGAAAATGAATGAGCACAATTCCGAACATCAACATCCAAATCCCACAAAAAGCCAGTGCACATTGTAAAGTACTGCAAGGAGCATTCCAGCAAATTGACTTTGGCACAACTGCTGAATATTGATACTGTAACTATGTACATGCACTAAACTTTACATGCACACTAAAGGATTCTATCTGTGTTAATTTTTGGCATTCAAGTACAAGCAGCAGTGGATGGCAATAAGCCTCTATAGCTTTTGTTACGCCCACCAACCACCCATCATACCCCAGGCGAGCAATGTGAATCGACAAGAAGAATTGAATAAACCCTGACCTCCTGTACACTCTGACCTCTTCTCAATGAATGTACATCAATGGTGCCAAAATTTCACGGTCAAAACCAAGCAAACCGTTGGCTCCCTTCAGGGTGTAAGTGCAATGATCCCTGACCAGGCTGGGCATGATCTCACCGTTAATGCCTTGATTTCCTTTTTCATGATCACCCAAAGGCAATAACTTCTGCCGCACAAGCTTTGTTTACCCGTGACAGACACCAAGAAGCCTTCAGCAAGCGACTCGCAAACCAGAAGGAGACGGTTCTTTGACTAGCCACCATCTTCCAATGGCTCGCTCGAACCATCCTGGCTTATCCACTTATCCTTTGGGATGCTGTCTGATGGTACATATGCATAACCTTTAGGTAACATCTTATTCTTCAAGTCGGCTTGATCAGAAGTCATTACCAGCTCTTTCTCAAAAGTCTCTGGATGCTGAGTCAGAATGCGTAGAGAGAAATGAAAAACCAAGTCCTCACTACGGAAACATGCAGTTGAAGTGAGACAAACAAAGGCGAAATTATACCTTCTTATACCTCGACCTCACTTCTCCATCATTCAGAATATTTCGAGATGCAACTGGTGGCCTCTGAGGAATGTGTTTCCCAGAGAATGGAGCCTTTTCTGTTGGCTTCCGGATCACAATAGTCTGTGATCCAGGGCTGCCATCAGTCTTTTGGGCAGTGCTGGTGTGAGAAGGAACTTTACTTCGTCGCTTGATAGAAACTGAGCTATCCACAGTCATTTCATCCGATTTCTGAACTGCTTCATTGCCAGATCTGTAGTTCAGTGATGTGGTGGCAGATTCAGAGCTGGCATCAGTAGCTAAGAAAGGACCTTGAACCAGCATAGAACGAGCAACCGTGTTTCTCTTCAACGCAAGTATCTCGTGCGTGGAAAGCACAATTTCCCGCTGCAAACATCCGGTCAATGTAAAGGGTCACAACTAAAGGTCCAACAAAATCATGGACGGACAGTTCGGAGATCATGCCAAATCCTAGGAGGTTAACAATGAAGGATGGACTCCGCAGGATTGTATATAAAAATAAAGGTAAGCATGCCGCAAAAGACTGATATAATCCCAGGACACTCACATTCCAACTTTAGGATATCAAATATTCTAAGTTAACAAGATCTGCAAGTATCAATTCCCAAAAACAATAAATAGAAAGAAAAGTTTCAAAGGAATTTCTTTCACCAATTATAGGAGTTAACAATTCTCCTGTTGCATGTAAAGCCATATCCATGCAAAAAAGATCCCCCACCATCACAAGAAAGATCAAACAGCGCAACTCCTCAACTGATGTTCAAGCCCCACCTAACAGGGTCCGACTACCTGACTAATATGTAAGGTAGACGACTTTAACACATATATCACAAAGAGGATAGATGGCATAACTGTTTGTCAGAAAGGCACTGACAATCAGTTATGCATAAGAATCCATCTTATAGAGCCAAGAACCTTCCAGCACCAATAAAGAGTTGTGCAGGCATAGAAAATAAGCTGCAGAGCTAATGCAAGAACTTCTATGGAAAGTGTCTAAGTTTCTAAAGAGGTGAATTAGCATATCAGCAGCTCCCTAACACCATATAAAAAACATGCTGAAGTCACGTCTTTGCCATCATGATGAGCATACCATAAAACAGACATCATCTTACTGCTTGGCTTACCTTCACTTTTTCACGTTTAATGATTCTCTCACAAAGAAGCCGCAACCTTTCCAATTCAACCTGCAAGAGCGTTGAGTGAAGTTCAATAATCTGATTATAACATATACAGCAAACATATATATAACGCAAATGAATAGTATAGTTACATATTCATCACATGCAATAGAAAATCAGCCATGACTGGCCATAACAAGTTAGAAGATGTTAGTCAGAGGTAAAAAAATCGAGCACAGTTAAAACCCGTATCTTCATTATACATGATAGATTACATGATATTAGTTAATACTTAACTGTCCGAGAAAACAAAAAGTGAATGATAACAAGTTTGCAAAAAGAAAACATAATAACACATACTAAACTTCATATGCCTTCTTCTGGCTTTTGAAAACTTAACCCATACGTCCGCTGGCTACATTTTTCTGAAATTTAAACGGTACCTTGATTTGCTAAACATACAAAATTAGCCCATGCATCAAGATCAACGTAAAAATAACTGTACCCGGATTTGCTTGATGCTCTTTAGCTCTTCAATTCCATACTTTTGCGACTCAGCCTGTCCAATTTATAGAAATACAAAAAATATATGAAATATAGGAGATATACAACTCAATATCTATGATCTCCGGAATTGACTTAATAAATGAACATGCAATATGCAAGACACACCTTTGCCTTCTGCTCCACACTGTGCTTTCCACAATAAGCCCGGTGCTGCAATTTGCCACCAACAGTCTTTACACTCATGAACAATCCAGTAGTTCGAGCACATGATGGATGAAATGTGCTCTGACAGTGACCATAATTGCACTGCAGGCCATAAGAGCCAGACTTAGTTTCATCTACTTAAAATGAACACAGAGTTCATAGAATCATAGAGGTAAGTTCACCTTTATGCAGACACCAAATCTATGATGGCACACATTACACTCATCAACACCTTTTGAAATTGAATCCTGCCATTTTGTCAAATACATTGCTTTAAGACATTAGAGAAAATAAACAGGCATGAATATGGGGTACATGTCTACAGAGACAAACAAAGCATAAAACAGAATTAAATAGTTCAGGCAACTAGCATCACACATACCATTCCTTCGACTGGATTTACTTGTCCTCTTGTAAAGGTAGCTTCAAAGACCCACTAGAGCACAAAACGAGAGCACAAATAATAAAAACAAAACTCAAATTTCCCATCTGTATAAAGATAAAAACAAAGAAATATCCACAAAAACCACAAAGGAAAAGCCATTCACCTCAGCACAGAAGGCATGGACCCATTTACCATCTGTGCATTTCCTAAAAGCGCCAGTGGTGCCTCCACATAAAGCACATTCGGCAGCAGAAGCAAATTTCTCCCAGAAATCGACAGCCGGTACTCCAGAACTTCGTAACTCCTCACATAATTCACAGTACCACGGTCCAGTGGATTCTCTGACACTCCGGTAGCAATCCATGTGCACAGAAACCTGTTACCAGAGAAGCTTGTCAAACCCAAGGCAGCTAACTAAGATTACTTGGAGAAAAGGTAAAACTCAAGGTGAAAACCTTGCAACTTGAACAGACTAAAATAGAATTCATCAGTGTCTCCGGCCGACTACAGATATCACATGATTTGGGATGATCTTTGGAAAAATCCGATGCCGACTGAATAGACCCAGAATGCCGTTCCAATGAATCCTTATGAACGCCCACTTTAGGAACTGTCTCCCTTGCTCGTGGCATAAGTTGAGAACAATAACCAGGCCTTCCACTAGTAGCATTGAGCTTCACCAAATTCTGCAGAGACAAGAAATCAAAATGAAGACCACAACCAAATAACAATCATTTTCCCCTCCATCAACCATTAAAGTAATTTCCAAGATAATGCCAATAACCTCCTGATTCGC